ACAAAGGAGCAACGATTTCTCCGTCAGATAAAGAATATAAAACACAAAGGAGCAACGATTTCTCCGTCAGATAAATAATATAAAACACAAAGGAGCAACGATTTCTCCGTCAGATAAAGAATATAAAACACAAAGGAGCAACGATTTCTCCGTCAGATAAATAATATAAAACACAAAGGAGCAACGATTTCTCCGTCAGATAAAGAATATAAAACACAACAGAGCAATGATCTCTCCATCAGATAATGAAACTGAACGTTCTAAGAATGTTTCAGAGCTCTTTACCTTCAACAAGAGGTTCTTGCGTCACATGCCAAAAAAATGACTCAAACAAAAAAAAAGAAAAGGTTAAAAAGAAGGAATTTTTTTTTTTAAGGAAAAGGAAATGCCACATGTCTGGATTTATTCCTGAGAACCAACAGCATTTAAATCCAAGTGCAACGGCATTATGAAAAAAAAGACTTTAGTTTGGGTATATGATAAGTAAAAGTATGGTACCTTCGAATTACTAAGCTTTATCTCACATTTTTGGCCGTTTTGAATTACTAAGACGAGAACAGAAACCAAATGTTCTATCTGCTCTTTGTTATTAAGATATTCAAAGAATCGCAATATTGACATATTGTGAAACTCAAAAGTTTTCACATCAAATTTCTCAAAGCTAGATACTGAAAAGAAAGAACTTTGTAATTCTAAGGTTTTAGTTACTCAAAACAACCACAAATGTCAGGTAGAACTGTGTAATTCTAAGGCAGCGGTATATGTCAGTCAAAGTTTTTGTTTTAGTAAGGTTTTACAGCACTCGCAACTGCATAAGGTCATATGAGCACCAACGTGTGGATGTTAACAGAGAAGTCCAAACGGGGAATCGGGCTTACTCTGCTCACCTCTCTAGCCTCAACAGCACAAAGTCTGCTTCGACTATCAAGGCATCCTGAAAATAGCAGTTCACAAGAGAGCAACAAACATACCAAAGAAGTAGAGGAAAAATGATGATAGTAAGGATGAGGAAAGAAAAAGCAGCAGTTCCCACTATGTTGTTCCGGCACAGTAGGAGCATGACATTGATAAATCAGCCCATTTATAATTCTACTGTGCACACGAACATGTTAATACCCCCACTTTGGGAAAGGCCTAAAAAAGACTTTTAGTAACTCAAAACAACCCCAAATGTCAGGTAGAACTGTGTAATTCAAAGGTAGTGGTATATGTCTCAGTCACGCTGGATCTCACCATGCTTATGTCAGTGTTGAAGAGAAGGTTGATGAACTTGCTCTTGGACGCCTGGATCAGATGGACCAAGTCGATGCTGAACGTGTCGCGGTTCTTCTCCAGGAATCCTGGACAGTGGGGAAACATTTTTTTTTAGTAAAATCCAAACAGATATGTTCTTAAATGGACATTAAAGGTATTGAACCAATTTTATTTTTTTTATGGATGAAAATTCATCGGCATTAACGGTACTTAACTAATTTAATTTTTTTAACATATAAAATAAAAAATGGATAAAATTCCCCCAACAAACAAAAACATGTCAGTTTATTAGATTTCTTTACTGTGGTGAATGCCTGATTTCACTACAATGTCCCATTATTATTTTCCTATCTGTGGTGAGCAGGTGTATGGGGAATCCTTGAGTTTGAGTAAAGAGAAGCACACCCACACAATAACGGTCAAATGGTGCAGGGAAGAAGCAAGACACACAAACAGAAACAATAGAAGTAAAGAAAAAAAGAAGGGCATCGCAGTGGTACCCTCTAATTACTCACTAAATTGAATTTGAGCAAAGAGAAAGACAAGCACATTGACAAAACAACAGTGATACAGTGCAGGGGAGAAGTTTGTTTTCTTTAAGTAAAGAAAAAGCACATCAACACAATACTGGTCATTTAGTGCTGGGAAAAAGTCAGACAGACAGACAGACAGAAACAACAGAGGGCAAAGTAAAGAAGTAGGACCTACCAGTGGCGCCCTCCAACCACCCACAACGGGAAAAACAAAATAGAAACAACAGAAGTAAAGAAAAGAAGTAGGACCTATCGTTTGAGCTTGAGAAAACAGAAACACATCGACACAATCGACACAAAAACAGTCATATTGTTCAAGGAGGAAGCAAGACAGGCAGGCCGACAGACAGAGACAACAGAAGGAAATGAAAGAAGGAGAACATCCTAAAGACACCCTCCAACCCTCCGCACGCAAAACCCACTCACCTCGACAGTCGTAGAAGACAACACCGGCAAAGTGGCTCAGACCAAACCTCTGGTTCACGGCCGCCTTAGGCTTCAGATAGTTGGAGTTGGAGCCGTGGTGGTGGTGCAACTTGTTCAACATACTCTCATCCGTACCCTGTGGGGGTTTGGTGGGGTAGAAAATACACATTAATAAATAACTAATTATGGTATTATTTGTTTCCTATTTATATGAACTTCGTCTTGATTATCCAGGAACTGCCAGTTGATGCCCTCACCCAACCATTAAAGCCCCCTCTCTCCCCCTCTCCCACTCACCTCTCCCCCTCTCTCCCACTCACCTCTTCTCCCTCTCTCCCACTCACCCT